CCAGTCTCCACACGTTGAGAGCTGATTGATTCGACTACTGGTTTCTCCCCCAGATGGGTTACAGCTCCCGAAACACAGACATTGGGAGGCAGCCCTTGGGTAAATGCTTGGTGGGGTCACAACGAAGGTGGGTGCAAGGTGGAGAATGGACTTCTGTGGGGTGATTGGCTAGAAAAGAGGGACAATCATTGATTTCCGGAACTAATGAAAGGGGCTCTTAATCACAGTTTTCTAGCTTGCAGGTGGGATCCTAAAACATCCCTGATGGGCATGCCCACGGCCTTATTCAGCTATCGCAGGATGGGGTGAGGGTTCATGTTACTACCGGGTCTCATGTGACCCCGAACGACTTGTGAGTCTACCAGTGAAGTGGTGTGGCCAAGTCCAGAGGAAGCCTTCTTCAAGTGATCCTCTTATTTGACAGCCTTGTGCCGAAGAATAAATCCCTCCACCTACTTCATACAGAGACACCTGCGTGGACTTATCTTTGGTCTTAGTGAATCCCCTCCATCTCCCAACTCAACCAGAGAGGGAAATGACCTCAACGGTTTCACGGCTCCCAGCAATTAACACGCCCAACTGATAAGCCCTTGTCAGGAGAACAAGGATTTAGTCCCAGGCAGGCGGATGGATAAAGAGAACAGTCTTATTCAGCAAAACCAGCGTGGCATTTAACCCTGCCGTTTGGGTCAGAAGGGGTTTCATGAGCTTCTCCCTCACAGCGGGATGCTGTTGGGGTACTCTGCCTACAGAAGGTGGGGAACAGCACACTGAACACTGAGCAATGAGAAAGAAGTGGAACAAGGGGCCAGACGGAGGGTCACAAGGGGGCGTAGAATCGGGGTTGGTTATTTTGGGTTCTGGACCCAAATCCTTGGGGCAGTGGCTCAAAAGCTGGGTGGGCCCAATGCCCACAGCCCAGGGATTCTGAGTGGATGGTCCTGGGCTGAGGTTTCAGCCAAGGGCCTTGCTTTTCCCCCAAAGCCAGTCTCCCAGGTGATGCTGGGAGGCAGCTCTTAGAATTCTAGCTGAGATGGGAATCCGCTGGTTATTAGCTTGGGGCTCATCAGGGCACGAGCCCGAGAGCAGGGACACCTGTGGATCCTTTGCCCACACAACCTCTTTACAATGAGCTATAACCATTGAACTAGGTTAGGATGCCCTTAACTGCCAGGATTTCCTCTGAAGAGGAAAATGGGATATATTAGAAAAGATTGGGGGGGGGGGGGAATGAGGAGCTGATACCAAAATGTTCCGAAGATGATGGAAACATGTACAAATGTACTTGACCCAATGGATGGATGGATTGTGATAAGAGCCACAAGAGCCCCCAATAAAATGATTTTTTAAAAGAAAATAACGATTTATAATTTATCAAGGAGTCACAAGGGGGAGGGGGACGGAGAGGGGGAAAAAAAAGAAGAGCTGATACCAAGGGTTCAAATAGAATGTAATGAGGATGGCAACAGATGCACAAATGTGCTGATACAATGGATGCATGGATTGTGATAAGAGCTGTAGGAGCCCCCAATGAAATGATCTTTAAAAAAGAAGTGATTACTGTGGAACATGGAGTGGCTGAGTCCCCGTGTGCTCGCACGGGGGCACCCAACAACACTACAACACAAAGCCACAGAGCCGATTCCCGTGTCACCAGAGTCCACAGAGCACTGACAGGAAGTCAAACATCCACCTTCCATTCCTCCCTCCTTAGATTCCCCCAAGAACAGAGACGGGTCTTGCTCAAATGCAGATCCTGGCTCAGCAGGTCTGCAGTGGGCCTCAAGACCCTGCAGTTCTCTTTAGCTCCCAATGATGCTGATGTTACTGGTCCAAGCACCACGCTCAGAGGGAACGTGGGTCTAGAGGCCATGCTGATGGCCTCCCTCTGGAGCCCACCCCAAAAGGATGCCTCCCACACTCCTCAAGACTGAACCCCATTGAGGTCCCTCGATGTCTACCTGGTCAAAACAGTCCTGACCGAATGCCAGGAGCTTGTCCATCTATTGCCATCCCACCCTCTCATCCCAATAGGCAATTTCTTGTTGGTAGAGTTGGAGGAAATGGATGGAGCAAGCGGGGGCTCACTACCAGCTCTTTCCCATTTGAACCCTGGGGCTGAGAATGTTCGTTTCCAGCCCAGAGACAATGAATCTGAAGCTACAAAGTAACAAGATACCCAGGGGAGTCTTAGGGGCCTGGGCTGGGGGTGGGGGAAAACTTGCTAAAATGTAGATTTTGATTCAGTGTATCTGGGTTGGAAGAGGAAGTTCTCCACAGGGGGGTTGAACCAGAATGAACCGGTTTGAAGCTGTAGCACAGGCTGTCAATCCAGAGTTGTAGCCCCAGCATTCACCAATGGAAGAGGCAACGTACCACGCGGTCCAAATCGGGAGATGAAACGATAAGGTCAGCTGAGGACACTGTCCACACTAGTCAAGACCATTGTTTTCCATCTTCTCTTCCTGAAACGTCCACAGGAATCATCCTGGGGCACCCAGACTCGAAAGAGACCACACGTTACAAAGGAAGGAATGGAAAGCCCCAGGATTCTGGGGAATGCAGGCTGGGGAGGCTCCCTGCACCCCACCCCACTCCCAGACCACACAATAGCTGTGGTTTCCACTCCTGCCGAATTTCCCTGAAAAAGACGCGGGTCCTCGGGTTTTAAACCCCTTCTCAAAATAATTTTCCAAATCCCACAGAGGGATGACAGATCTTTGCGCTTCATATGAAGAAACCCTTAAATGAAACCAAAGAAAGACTCAGATATTACCCTTTCAAAGAAGGGGGAGAGGGGGAGGAATTTCCATTCTGGAACATTCTGAAATGTGGCCTTTTTGATTCTGAAAAAGCAGAGTGAACGCTAAGTAGATCTACAGACTTTGTGGGCCCTGGAGTGAATGAGGTGCCTGGATTGGGGGTGGGGGGAGACACTGGCAACCAGATGCCCGCTCCTCGCCTTAAGGGGCTCCTGCCGGGACACTGCTTAAGCTGGACTTGCTAGCATTTCTGACCCCACAGTCCTGGGTCCCGTTTTTAGATTCCTCAGAGTCTGCGACCATCATTTGCAGCTCACCTACTCTCGGCAGGTGCCTTACTCCACACAAATCTGTCTGAAGGCCCCAGTCAGGATACTGAGTACCAAAGACCTTTGGGAACTTCTCCACCTCCACCTCCTCCAGCACTCGGCTTTTGTCTTCTGTGGAGCTCGGGCTAAACCCAATTATATTGCTGTCACCGCAGGCTACCTGGGCTCCTGCGTGGGAATTGGGCAAAGACGCAAAGACTCTCACCTTTCCTCTGAAGGGATCAGACATCAAACTCATTTCTACCCTCACGACATTTCAAAAAGGTCACCAATTAGTTTCGAGATCCCGAGTCAGAAAGAAGGGAGCCCCAGCGGCCCTCTGTTTAAAGCATATGACTGGGGGGTGGGGAGGTGGGGTAAGGTTGACACTTTGAACCCACCAGCTGGTCTTTGAGAGAAAGAGTAGGCTGTCTGCTTCCATAAGGATTTGCAGACTCGGAAACCCTAGGGAGCAGTTCAGGAGTGTCTTTCTGAGGAGCCCCGGTGCACTGAGGGATAAGCATTAGGCTGCTAACAGCAAGATCGGTGGTTCAAACCCACAAGGGAGAAAGATGAAGCTGTCTGCTCCCATAGTTTGAGTGTCTCAGGAACCCTGGCTGTAGGGTCGCTATGAGTTGGAATCGAGTCGCCACAGTAGGTAGTAGAGTTGGAAAAGAGTGCCCTGAGTGGTGCAAATGCTTAGCCTGAGGTTACCAGGAGGAAAGGCCTGGTGATCTGCTTCTGAAAGTTCACAGCCTTGTAAACCTGGGGGGGCGGGGGTGTCTATTCTAGCTAGTCATGTGCCAGTGGGTTGCAGAACTGACTTGATGGAAGATGTTTGTTTTCCATCAGAGAGGACAAAACTCCAGGCAAAGCTCCCCACTGAGCAGAGAGCCAGGGGCTGGTTTACATTTCCCCCTTGTTCTTTACTCTCTTAATTGTGTTAATGGGCATTCAGGACCAAACAAAGTGACCTTGTTTTCCTCCTTTGCTGCAAATTCCTGCGCTGGCTGGATCGTGGCACCCAGGGACTTGTCAAGACCATAGATCTTGGTTGGGGTAGAAGGAGGGGCTTTCTCTAATGTCTGTCCACCACCGTGTTTCACAATCGCTCCTACAGGACGGCAGCGTCCTCAAAGCTGGGGAAGATGCGCCTGGGGGGAGGGGGGCTCTTCCAGAGTTGCAGGACTGTCAGGCACATCGATGGCCAGACCCCAAGGCACAGGCTGAAGGTGGAAAGGTCTCAGGCCCGGGAGGTGCAGGTGGCAGGGGCCCTGGCTCCGAGTGCCTAACGTCAGGGGCAGCCAGGCCCTGGCCTGGAGCCCCCAGCCAGAGGGTGGATGTGTGGTGAGTTCAGGGCAGTGGGGTTCTGACGCCAAGGCGGTGCCTGCTTACAGAAGCTAAGGTTCTGCTGATGCCCAGAAGTCAAGGCGCAAGGTACTTGCCCGCCCCCCGCCCCCTCGGTGGGCCCTAGGCCTGGGGGCGGGAAGGATGGCTGAAGGCAGATGGCGGGACCTAAGGGAGCCCCTGGGGCCGGGATGGGGGTTGGGGAGAAGAATGCCAAACGCCAAAGGTGCATATAGCACGTGGGCCCTAGGCCTCAGGGTGCTATCCTCTGCTGCACCCTGCTTCAAGCCCCACCAGGACCAGCCTTCATCCCCGCCCCTTTATGCGCCCCGCCCCCATGCCTCACTAGCACCTCCCCTGGGCTGCCCCCAGGTGCTATTCCTACCAAGCCCCGCCCTCCTCCCGCCAGCCCCGCCCCCTCCAGGCCTCAGCCCCTCCCCAGCATGCCACGCCACGCCCTGCGACTCCGGCCCTGTCACCTGAGGGTACCTAAGAGGCTGTGCTTTAAAGACCGGAGGCCCTGTTGCTCCGTCAGCGAGTAGCTTCTGGGCGACCTCTTTGTCTGTTGCCTTCCTTGAGGACTCTGGGATCCATGAGTGCCTCCCAACCTGCCGAGGAGTATTCTTCGCTCCCTCTCCCGTCACGCCTGTGGATCTGGGACAAGAATGTGTATCTGGATGAGAACCAACGCCCCTGGCTGCCCACGATCATCCAGGTACAGCCCGCTGACTGCAGGGACTGCACGGTGGCCCTTCGGGCTGGACCCTGAGGAACTAGAGACGCCCAAGCCGTCCTGGGCCTCGGAGGAGCGGGGCCCGGTGAGGGTGGGGGTCAGCCGGGAGACGTCTCCATGTGTAGGCCCCAGAAATTCTGGGGTTTTTTTAGAATGGGCCCCCAATAGGTTTTGATCCCAGGCGGTTGGAGACTGTCTAGCTGGAAGATGCAGCGTTTCGGAGCTGCTCCTGGAGTTGACGGAAACAAAGTGAATGTGTAATAATGTAATATGAAAGAGGCCGGTGCGGCATTAATTACTAAGGGGTTGGACTTTTATTTGTGTAGCGTCCAGACAGATCCTTGGTTCATACTTTTTCTTAGAGTATCCCACGTGGCACAGTGGTTAAAACGCTCAGCTGCCCACCCAAAGGTCCGTGATTTGAACTGGCTCGCTCGCTGTTCGGTGGAAGAGACATGGTGGTCTACTTCCAGGAAACACTTGCGTTGTTCCACTGTGGCCTAGGAGCCCCCGGGGCAAAGTGGGCTGCCGACTGCAGAGTCAGCAGTTCTAAACTACCCCAGACAAAGAGGCGGCTTTTTACTTCTGCGAAGAGTTACTGTCTTGGAAGCCCACAGGGGTGGTTCAACCTTGTCCCATGGGTGGCTGTGAATCGGCATCGACTCGGTGGGTGGTGGCGAGTTTGGTGGCGAAGTTCTGTCCTGTAGGGTGGCTGTGAGGGGGATCCACCTGATAGCAGTGGGCTGTCCTTAAAGGAACGCAGCTCATTTGCGGGTTCCTTCCCTCCGAGGCCGGGTATCCCCACAAAGAACAACGCAAATGCTGACGGCCTTGCCGGACCCAAGGAAGGGATCAGAGCACATTGAGATAACTTTCCTTCAGTTCACCACAAAACCACAAGAAACTGAACTGTGTGCCGGCTCTGCCCCCACTTCACAGATGATGAAACAACCCCCCACCCCCACCCCGCCAAGCGGACTGTCACCGAGCTGCCTTTTGCTGGGTTTTGCTTCTGATTGGCGAGTGTGCTATAGCACACTCGGTCTGTCAGTGCTGTCTGTTCTGCGGGTCTCCCTAAACTTCCCCTCGAGCACAAATCCGGCCAGTGGCTGGGGAGCCCTTTCTAACTCGGGGTGCCCCTGTGCCGGACGGGATAAAACTGCGCCGTGGGTTTTCATGGGCAGTAGGCGTTCTGGTAACCTGTCCCCAGGCCTCTCTCCCGTGACATCATTGTGTGGGTGTGAAGTTCATATTGGGACCAAGCTATGTGTGTCCCCACCCCACCCCAGGGACTTCCATACTTCGGAGCAGAGAGACCTGGCTAAAAGAAGCCAGGTAGATCTCGGGGAGAATGTTCCTGACAGAGGGAAGTGGTACAAAGGGTTCTGGGAGCAGGTCTGTTCTAGAAATACGGGGGTGGGGGTGGGACGCGGCTGGGTGCCTGGCTTGGGGTGAAGAAAAGAGCACCGGGCCAGGAGAGAGGCCAGGGCCCAGCGGCGCGGGCTTTGGTGGGGCGTGGCTTAGATTGCCATTTGCTTCACCTGTGGCCGGCCGTGGTGGGAGGGCACTGAGCAGGGCGGGCAGGAGTTTAGCTTCTGCCTGGTGGCGAGTTAGGGAACTACAGTTCCAGGGAGAGGTGGAGACGGTGAGGAGGAGGTAGCTCGGGTCCAGGGCTATCTTGTTGAAAAGAAGAACTATGACAAGAGAAAGACTGTCCCGGAAGGCCGAGATGGGTGCCAAGGGCTTTGCTGGAAAGCTCAAAGGGTCCTGTCACGGGCACCATGGCTGTGTTTCTTCCGGCTGTTGTATCGGAAATGCCACCAGCGAAGGCTTTAAAGAGCAGGGCTGCCCTTTCTCCCAGTTTTGGAGCGTGCTGGTGGCATTATTGTGAGGTGCCACAGAGTAGAACTTCCTAGAGGGTGGGGGTGCCCTAAAATGGCATCTTGAACATCTTGAAGGGCTTGTCAGTTTTTCTTTTTCTTTTTTTTTCCTCCCACAGAGCCCCTGGGTGGCTTTGAACCTCCAACGCTATGGTTAGCAACCCCTCAGCAAGCACTATTGGTGCCACCTGGGCCCATTGTTGAGGGAGGCTAGACTCTGAATTCCATCTCTGTCTGTCTGTCTGTCTGTCTGTCTGCCTGTGTGTGTGCAGGTGTGCGTGCGTGTGCCTGCTTGTCTGTGTGCATGTTTGTGTCTGATGATGGTGCATCACGGACAGCAAATGCCAGCATCCCAGACCCAAACCCCTGTGGGCAGGTGAGCTGGGCTCTGAGATGCGCCCTGTCCTTCTCTCCACGATATAGAGGGAGAATGACTTCCGAGTGGTGATGCAGCAGGAGAATGTCTCCCTGGGGGAGCCGATGACCCCCAGCCAGCTCCAGCCACGGGAGCTACCTCTGTTGTGGCAGCTCTACCCTGAACAGAAGTACCGGGACTCTAATTCCAACTACTGGCACATAGTGTGCCACAAGATGGCAAGTGACCCTGGGAGCCCTCCCTCACCCTGGCCTCTGGGACAGAGCTGCTCTTACTCCCCCTCCCCCCCAACACACACCTCCCCACACACCACACACACAAACACGCTTGGAACACACAGGGCTGACAGCAGAAGACCCTGAAGCTATTAGGCTGGAGAGAAGTTGGAACAAGCCACCAGACCACCCCCTGGGGTCACTGCAGGGTGGGGGAGCCCAGGCTGGTGGGAGGCCATGACCCAGATTCTCATCTACAAGGGCAGTGGGAGACCCAGGGCTGGGCTCTAACACCCTTCTTCTCTCCACGCAGCAAAGTGGCAAGCAGAGGCTGGTTCTCAAGAAGTTGCCCGAGGAGGACTAGCAGGAGTGGCCTGGTGAGCACAAGGCACAGGGCCCATGAAAGGGGAGCCCCCATGGTGCCCGGGGAGCAGGAACAGGCCTGGCCGAGGTCTCGGGACACGGCTCCGCATAGGTGTTGTTGACGGGTGCTGTCTGAGAGGCTCAACTCACACCAACACATCAACAAACAACACGGAACACTGCGCAGCCTTGCGCCTGCCCGCCCCCCCCCCCCCCCCCCCCCCCCATGGCTCCGTGTGAGCCCCGCTGCTGTAGCAGCAACTGTCAGTCCAGCTCCTTAAAGGGCTTCCTCTTTGCCCTTGAACCTCACACTTTCCTAAGCATGATGTCCTTCTCCAGGGACTGGTCCCTGCTGACAGCATGTCCAAAGAACACGAGAGCAGGTCTCACTACCCTTGCTTCAAAGGAGAGTGCTAGCTGCCCTCCCTCCTAACCAGGCTGCAAGCAGCATGACCCCTTCCGGTCACTTTCTGCAGTCAGCCCTGTGAAATCACCGCAGCCCTGAGACCAGGGGTGGTGGCATTGTTTACTTTACAAAGACTTAAGCGCGGACAGTCAATCCAACCATCTGGTAGAAGCTCTGTTTGGGTCAACCAAGAAGGCTCAGTGGGAGATGGCTGGCCACACCCCGGTCCTGGCCCCACCCCGCCCTGGCCCTGACTCCACCCACCCTTCCTCCACCTCTGAGAACCTCTTTTTCTCTTGTCGCCCCTCAGGTTTCCCAGTTCCGTCACCTCTCACTCTGAACCTGGATCCTGCTGACCTTCCGGGCAGATGTGTGTTCACGGTTCCCCTTTGCTGACCACACTCATGCTGGCTGAGACACATCGGGTCTGGGAGGGAGTGGGTGATGGAGGACGAACAGCCCTGCCATGGGGCGGGGGTCAAGTTGGTGTCAGACCCTCCATTCTGGGCCTTCCCTTGCCTCCCCTCTCTCCCTTAACGCCCCCTACACACACACACACACACACACAGCACTGCCTGGAAGCCGGGTACCACCTGAGAGGACTTCGTTTGCAGTGACTTTCTTCAGGGCCAGCTCTGCTTGGTTTTGTGTCCCCAGCAGGGTGATGGCCTTGGCCTCCACCCCCTTCTCCCTCCATCCCCTTCTCCTCCAACCATCCCTCACAGCAACAGTGGCACCACCTGACCCAGGACTTCCACCCATGTGTGCCCTGGCCCCAGCATGTTCCAGTACAACTCAGGGGAGGGACAGGAAGGAGCCTGGATCGAGCGTGTCCTGGTCAGCAGCCCCAGAGGTCACCAGGCCAGACAGGCAAGCATGTGGGCCTCGGCTGCCTACCTGTTGATGGGGTCCAGGCTGGACACACCATGGAGGGGGGGTGGGGGGTTTGTGAGATGGCATGCAGAGACACTTTGTAACGTTGATTAAATATGACACAGTTCATCCCATGTTGCGCTGACTGTGCACCTGACCTCGACCCAAAGTGCCGGGAATGGGGAGGCCAGACAGTCCCCTAGTCCGAGAACATTTGAAAGGGAAAGACTCCTGGATACCCGGTGGAGAAGGCTGGAATCTTCACTCATTATTTGACCTTCTAAAGCTCAGTGTTTGGGGGAAACTGGGTGGCATCAGTGGTTAAGCATGCTGCGATTAACGGAAAATTTGGCAGTTGGAACCCCCACCCCCCACCCCACCCCTTGAGGCTCCTCTGGGGACAGGCCTTCTGCTTCCAGAAGGTCCCCACCCTGAACGGCATAGGGGGCCGAGAGTTGGAATTGACTTGACGGGCAATTAACAATTTGAGAACCATTGCCAGGGGGACGGGGCAGACTCTCCTGGTGTTCAGGACCCTCTAGCCTAGCCCTGCCTTCCGTGGCTACCTGATTCCTGATCCACCATCTGCCCCTGCCAGCTGTGTCCTCTCCCCACCTTCCCCACCCCTGTGAAGACTTAGCTGTTGCCTGAGAAGTCGGAGGGTTGGGTCGACCTGGAGACCCCTCGGAAGAAAGGACTGGTGATCTAGTTCTGAGGAACCATCCCTTGTGGCACCAGAAGTCCCTCCTCCTGAATCTGTCCCAACCATCAGACTCCCCTCCCACCTTTCAGGACCTGCAGTTACAGTCCAGCCTGGCCACCCAGCATGGGTGTCTTGTGCCCTGGCCCTCCTTTACCTTCTAAGCCAGGTAACACAGGAATGCTGCTCAGAGAAGGGAGTGCTGGTTCTCCCCACATGCATGTGGCTTTAGGCCACAGTGTCCTCATCTCTTAAATGGGAGTAGTGATACTTTTCTTGGATTCAAAGGAGCAATTGAAGTGTTGCAAATAGCTCATAAGAAAGAAAAAGCAAAACAAGAAAACACGGCCCATGAATCAGAGCAGCCCTCTCAAATAGAGGTGAGCTGCAAGCTGTTGGAGGAGGAGACGGCCTCTTCGATCTCCTGTGGAGTCACCGGGGCCCAAATTCCTAACTTTGTGATTGGCAGCCCAACATGTCACCCACGGGTTCCTTTCAGAGGAACTGCATAAGGAAAAGACAATGATTGCCCATGAGAAGTAGTCTTGGTCTTGTCAAATTCCATCATGTGATGCCTTCCTTTCTGTCACTAAGGACAATGGCTGTTCCTTCCTCTTTATTTCCAACTTTTGCATTCCAAATGCTGAGAATGATCAATGCCTCTTGATTGCATGGTTGATAAGTTTCAGACTGAAGACGCTGGTAGAAATTCTTTAATGTCTTCATCACTAGCTTTAGTGGTTGGTGCATACATTTGAGTAATAGTTGTGGTGACTGGATTTCCTTGTCTATGAACAGATATTCCATCACAGCACCGGTCCTGAATACCAGGAGGGGCCGATCTTGAAATGACCTTTCTGACAATGAGTGCAAGGCCATTTCTCTTGAATCTGTTGTTCCCAGGATAGGAAACCACATGACCCCCTCATTCAGAATCATCCACACCAGTCCATTCCAGCTCACTCGCACCTAGGTATGGGTCTTCGTGTGTTCCATTTCAGTTGTTACAACTTCCAATTTTCCTAGATTCATACTTCGTACATTCAAAGTTTCGATTATCAGTAGGTATTTTCAGCTGTTTCTTTTCACCGTGAGTCGTGTCCCACCCACAACGGTCTGAGAGGCTTTACTCCATCCGTGTCATTGTGGTCAACTCTGCTTTGAAGAGGTAGCTCTTCCTTGGTCATCTTTTAAGTGCCTTCTGACCCGAGAGACTCATTGCCTGGCACTGTCTCTGATAATGTCCCGCTGCTATTCGTAAAGTTTTCAGTGGCTAGTGCCTTAGCAGTGCACAGTCATAGACTGTCATTAATCAGGAAGCTCCTCTGAACCCTGTCACCGTGGTTGACCCTGCTGCTCCTTGAAATACCAGTGACGGCACTTTCAGCTCTAGTCTCTGACCTTGGTGGTCTTATCCAGTTCTAGACCCATACACCTCAGGGACCACCAGTGACAGGGCTTGAGGCTCATTGTCTAACTCATTCCCCCAGTACAGTACAGGTCATATACACCCGAGCCTCTCAGTGGAGAGGATCGGGCAAGTAGAAAGCCATTAGGAATGAGAACGCCGAGGCCTAGAATGAGGAGGACAAGATGTCGCTAATGCCCAAACCACTGACCACCCCCTAAAAGGTGTGGGCCACTGGAGGGACAGCGATGAGCCCAACGGCACCAATTTCGCTCTGGGGAAAGGTGAGTGAGGAATGTGGGACCTGCAAAAGGATGTAAAGAAAACTACAGAGTAACCTGGTCCAGAGTTCTGCATAGCAGACGAGAACTTCCTATCTGGAGGTAGCATCACAGAATGGAACCCAAACCTGAGCAGAAGTGAGATGCAGGAAGGAGGAATACCAAAAGCTAATAGATTTCAACCACTGTGCAAATGGAAGACATAATAAAAAAATCCCTTTTTTAAAAACAGTGTTACTCTGGGTTACAAGTAGAACTGCTCACTGCAAAGTCGGCGGTTGGGAACCACCAGCGCTCAGGAGACAGATCGGGCTTCCAACTCCCATAAAGAGTGACAGTCTTAGAAACCCACGGGGGCAGTTCTACCCTGTCCTGTGGGGTCACTATGCGTCTGCATCCACTCAATGGCAGTGAGTTTGATTTGGTCTTAAGCCCTAATGAATTAACTATGAATGTGAGGCAGGATCGCAGTTCCATGACAAGCAGAAGGACTGATATTTAGGGTTCAGACGACGGACAGGGAGCCAGGATGCTCCTGTAAGGCCAGAAGTGTACATGTCCTGGGCGAGGGAAGGGAAAGCATTCTGTTTGAGCCAGACGCAGTCTGAGATGCCTAGGAATCCTTACAGGAGGATTCTACACTCTGCCCAGTGGAGTCACTCTGAGTCAGAAGTGGCTTGGGGGGTGTGGTGGGGGGGGCCCTTAATAACAATGATGCCTTATACTTGGGGTGTGGGTAGACTGTTGCTTAACCATGGATCTAGAGTTCAAGGGAGCAGTCCAATGCCCAAAGTTTAAGCTCACTACCATCTAGCCCATTTCGACTCATAGCGACCCTATGGGGCAGCGTAGAACTGCCCCTCTGGGTTGGTGGCCCAGGCTATAAATCTTGCCCAGGGTAGAAAAGCCTTATCTTTTACACATGGAGCAGCTGGTGGGTTCAAAATCCCAACCTTGAGCTTCTCAGTCCCTCACTAAACCCACTACATCACTGAGGCTCATTAAGGGAGAGGCCAGGATTTAAAAAAAATTAATTTAAGAGTCATTAAAATATTGATGCTACTTAAAGTAGGGACCTGAATGGGGCAACAATTGTGAGGATGGTATAGGGCTGAGTGGTCAGCCATTCCATTGTACACAGGGTTGCTGTGGGGCGGAAGCGAGGTTGATATGTTGGGAACCGGGATAAGAATGTTTCAGGAAGAAGTGTGTCACGCCACACCCACCAGGATTGCTATTTGAAAACAAATAAAAGTGCTGCCATCCAGTCGATTCCAACATGCCACGACCCCATAGTGTCCACGGCTGTACATCTTGGTAGAAGCGGGCGTCG